GCCCGCTGAGGGTCGAGGGCTCCCCGAAGACCTCTGGGGACCCCTGGGGCCCTCTTGGCCGTCCTCATCCTCCACCCTGCACTCTCCTCCCTATGCCCCTGTTCTGTCCTGGCAACTCCCTTCTGTCGCACCACCAGACGTGTCGGTAAGGGGGTCTTGGCGCTCGCTTCGCATGGCACTTCCCCGCCATGTGTGATCCTGAAGCGTCACAGACTGCCACACGAATGGACGGCGGGTGACCTTCTCGCCTGAGCGCCTCGCACATTCGTCTGAAATCCACCACCTACGAGTGTGGAGGGCGCTGGCTCTCGCCTTCCCAACGGCTGCGAGGAGGGAGAGCGGGTGGTTTTCAAGACGTGAATTTCGCCTTACTGTAACGCCACGCACAGTTGTCTGGAAGCTTTCAGCAGCTACAAGGATGGACGGCGAGTGGCTTTCAGGTTTTTAGAATGCGGCCCCTTTCACCAGCGTCGCACGCGTAAATCTTCCGACAGCTGCGAAGATGGAGAGGGGTTGGTTTCCAAAGTGTGCGGGACAGCGGGATGGCTCCTTTTCAAAACGGGTGTGTCCCTTGAATGGCAGGCACATGGGGCGCTCGTCTTTCAAGAGGGCGCCTCCCGCAGTGAAGCAGAATGCCTGCAGGGACTTACGAGGAGGGAACTTGGGACCGGACGGGAGGGCGTGTTGCAGCATCGCTGACGCAGCCTGGGTTTGCTCGAGTCCCTTCTCCTTCTCCTCCGCGCTCCGCGCGAGCGCACCCGTGCGCACCATCATCATCCACTTGCGTGCCCGCGGATCCATCCCCTCGGCTCTGCCTCGAGGGGGTCGGCCTAGAAAGGGCGACCCCGAGACTTCTTATTGCCTCCCCGGGCATCATGCGCTGCGATCCTGATCGATGCGTGGGCGCCCCCTGGACCTCTCGACCCCTTTTCCCAATAGCTGGGGAACCTTTCGCCCTGAAGATTATTTTGCCGGCCCTGAGGTCCGAAGCCGGCCTCCTCAAGCCAGAACAGGGCGACGACGACGGCCTCCAGATGCCAGAGAAGGGCGACCGAACCGGCCGCCTCGATTCTGTCCGAGGCGCTGGACGGCACAAGGAAAACCAAGGAACTCAAGGTGGAGGTCCGACCTCCGTTTTGGATGCCGTGTTCTCCATCTCGTCGGCGCCATCTTGGACGCTCCAATCGGTCGCGGGGCGTCCCCTCCAGACCCAGGGGTGGGGGAAGGGGGAGGGGTCAAGCTGACAGTTCTTGTACGTCGCAGCGCGGCAGAGGCGATCCGCACGCGCGCTCTAGGAGGCCGGGCTCGGGCACACACTTATTGTCCAGCTGAATGAGGGGAGACGGGGGCTGGTGGACGGCCGCGGAAGGTGGGAGAACGAGGGAGGGCATTCATTGCACGAAGACCTTCGTCAGGAGTCGCCGAAGCGGCCAGCCGGTGCTGAGGCAGCCTGGCAGTGGACGCGGAGCGGCATCATGGCCACACCCAGAGGCAGAGGCTGCAGGCGCAGAAAGCGCAGACCATGTCGAACCAGTGTGGGAGGAGGAGCGGCGAGCGAGCCAACAGAAGTGGGCATCAGCCAGGCTTATCCCACAAGCAACAAGCAGCAAGCCTTGTCGCTCATTCCCACCCGCCCTCCCCACACAAAAGTAGTACCCGAGTCTCCGCATGGACAGAGGCCGCCGTCGACAACTATCGAGAACCATTACAAACGCCAACCAGGTGCGCGAAGCCCGCGAGGTGCGACGCACGTGCCAGCTGCTCCGCGCGCACCAGGTGCGCCACATGGGCAATATGTCGGCCCTCCCACCGTCCCTGTCAGAAATTATGCTAACGGAGTTCCCCACATAAAGATATGAACGGTTTCGTGGGACCCATGGGGTACGACCACATCAACACGAAGGAGAAGCTCATCGAACGAGTAAGTACGCACGAAAGGGCAGACGAAAGAAAGGAGGAGGGAGGACAGGTGTTCAGGAAACGAAGCCTTGTAAATAGTACGGTTTCTTGATACCCTCCTCGCTCTGGTGGGGCCCCGCTGGAAGGGGGGAGGGCTACGAAACCTGGTCAAGAGTAAAGCTTTCCGCGACCCTCCTCGTTCAAGCGCGGCTTCTCTGGAGTAGTGGAGGGGGGACAGAAATGGTTTCGCGGGAGGGGCACGGAACCATTGAAATAGTATTGATTTCCGATACCCTCCTCGCTCAGGCGGGGCCTCCCTGGAGGGGTGGAAGGGGCACGAAACCATGTAAATAGCATGGGTTTCCGATACCCTCCTCGCTCAGGCGGGGCCTTCCTGGAGGGGTGGGAGGGGCACGAAACCATGTAAATAGTATGGGTTTCCGATGCCCTCCTCGCTCAGGCGGGGCCTCCCTGGAGGGGTGGGAGGGGCACGAAACCATGTAAATAGTATGGGTTTCCGATACCCTCCTTGCTCAGGCAGGGCCTCCTTGGAGAGGTGGGAAGGGCACGAAACCATGTCAAAAGTACGGGTTTCCGATAACCTCCTCGCTCAGGCGGGGCCTCCCTGGATGGGGTGGGAGGGGCACGAAACCATGTAAATAGTATTGGTTTCCGATACCCTCCTCGCTCAGGCGGGGCCTCCTTGGAGGGGTGGAAGGGGCACGAAACCATGTCAATAGTACGGGTTTCCGATACCCTCCTCGCTCAGGCGGGGCCTCCCTGGAGGGGAGGGAGGGGCACGAAACCATGTAGATAGTATTGCTTTCCGATACCCTCCTCGCTCAGACGGGCCTCCCTGGATGGGGTGGGAGGGGCACGAAACCATGTAAATAGTAGGGGTTTCCGATACCCTCCTCTCTCAGGCGGGGCCTCCCTGGAGGGGTGGGAGGGGCACGAAACCATGTAAATGGTATGGGTTTCCGATACCCTCCTCGCTCAGGCGGGGCCTCCCTGGAGAGGTGATTTGGGAGGCGGGAGGCGGGAGGGAGAAGGAGAGGATGTTCTGGGAAAACAAGAACCCCACTCAGGACGTGGGGAACTAATGCAAGGTGACGGCGGTGTTGTTGCGTGCGGGTGTGCACCCCACGATCGTTTTGCAATTCTGTGGCGGGCCGGCGCACAGCAGGCAGCATGCCGCCCCCCCCCGCCGTCCTTGTCAAGATGGGTTTGTTGTTCCTCTTGAAAAAGATGGCGGGCCTGCAGACAGCAGGCATTATGCCGCACTCCCGCCGTCCCTGTCAAAAACAACTACAGCATGAGCGCGAGTAATCCGCGCATGATCCTGATTTGGGTGCAACGTGCATTCTGTATGGTTTGTTGCAAGGGATGGTCCGTGGTTTTTGGCACTGCACGCAGCAGGCAATAGGTCAAAGACCACTGCAAAGTGATCGCGGGGCGTTCGCGCATGATCCAGATGTTGGTGCAAAGTGTGCTTCGGCATGTTTGTTGCAAGAGATTGTGAGTGGTTGTGGCCTGCGCGCAGCAAGCAATATGCCAGCGCCCCCACCGCTTCTGTCAACCAATGCGAAGTTGTCGCGCGGCGTCCGCGCATGCTCCAGATTTGTTGTTTTGCTTTTGACAGGGATGGTGGCCGTGCGCACAGCAGGCAGTACGTTGGCACCCCCGGCGCCCATGTCAAAAAATGGACCCAGCGCGACCCCAATCAGGGGAAAGCCTATTGCGTGGGCGCATCGCTGAGTGCATCGCTTGACATGGCTTGGCATGGCTTGGCATGGCTTGGCATGGCTTGGCAGTGCTTGGCGTTGCCTGGCATTGCTTGGCATGGCTTGGCATGGCTTGGCATGGCTTGGCAATGCTTGGCAATGCTTGGCATTGCTTGGGGCAACCGGGGGGGATGAACCCGAGGAACCTGGGGAAACCGAGGAACCTCCGAGGAGCGGGCAACGTAACAATAGGAGGCACTGGGGCGGGTAACCCGAGGAACCCGTGGAACCTCCGAGCAACGGGCAAAGTGAAAATAGGAGGCACCAACCTTTAACCAAGTAAGAACCCCTTAGCAGCCAAGCCTGGAACAATACAAAGAGCTCACACGGGCCCCGAACATGGCCCAATATTGTTAAGGCCTTACAGTTGGTGCCGCCGACCCTGGACGACGACCCCCACGATGGAAGAGGCATTCGGGAAGGTCAGAATCAAACGCTCCAAAGAATGCCCAAGAGGCTACACGAGGCCCCCAAGAGGTGCCCAAGAACCCCCACGAAGTTTTGGGGTACCTTGGGAGCCTTTTTGATTGGGAGCCTCCTGGGGCTTCCTGGCGGTTCCTTGGGGGCGCCTCGGGGCCTCTGGGGGGGCCTCTCGGGCGTCGGGGCCCTCCGGGGGGATGGTAACCTGACCCAAGACCACCCCCGGGACCGCCCCTCGGAACCCCACCCCACCCCCCCCTGGGCCCCCCCCCATTGGGGAAGGGCTCAAAGAGAAGGGGATCCCCTGGGACTCAGTTACGGCGTGGCTCAATTTCGCTTAGGTTGTTCCGCTTTGGCTGGCACGCTAAAGGAGGGCGCAGGTAAAAGGGGGGAGCGGCGACGGCGGCGGCGACGACGATGAGTCGAACAAAACAGCCTCTCGTACACGCCGACAGGGTCGGCGGATTTTGCCGCAAAGTGCACGTTGCATTGTTTTTTTGACCAGGGTGACGTGTGGGAGGGGCCTCATTGACCCGTGTTTGTCGCCAGTCGGATGAGGGAGGGGATGCATATTACGTAAGAAGGAGCGGTAGTAAACCCCTTCCCGAAGGGGAAGAAGCGGGTTGGAAGAGGAAACGCCATGAACCACCTACGCCTTGAAGGGTTGGTGGGATTCAAGGTCGCGGGGAAATGTCGTCGTCGTGCCCCGTCGCCGTCGTCGTCGTCGTCGTCGCCGACGCCGTCGTCGATGTCGTCGCCGCCCTCGTTGTCGTCGTCCTCGTCCTCCTCCGTCGAACGTCGAGCGTCGAGCGGCCAAGCGGCGAACATCGAGCGTCGAGCAGCGAGCATCGAGGCTGCTCCCCCGGCACGCTCCCGCGGAGAGCCGCCCAGCAGCAGGAGCGGGGCCGAAAGAGGCTGGAGCTCATCCGGGCCGCGGGCGCCCCGAGGCGCGGCCAGGAGCCCCCCCTCGCGGCCTCGCGGCTCCCATTGTCGCGCGCGGAGGCCCTCGGCGGCTTCAAGGGCATCAGCAGCACACAGGAGGAGGAGGAGGAGGAGGAGGAGGAGGAGGAGGAGGAGGAGGAGGAGGAGGAGGGAGAAGAGGAGGAGGGGGAGGAGGAGGAGGAGGAGGAGGAGGAGGAGGAGGAGGAGGAGGAAGGAGGGAGAAGGAGGAGGAGGCAGGAGAGACGAGGACGAGGGACGAGGGACGAGGGACGAGGAGGAGGAGGAGTAGAGGAGAAGACGGAGAGGAGGAGGAGGAGGAGGAGGAGGAGGCTGAAGGAGGAGGAGGGGAGGAGAGGAGGAGGAGGAGGAGAGGAGGAGGAGGAGGGAGGAGGAGGAGAGGAGGAGGAGGGGAGGGAGGAGAGGGGAGGAGGAGAGGAGGAGGAGAGAGGAGGAGGAGGAGGAGGAGAGAGGAGGAAGGAGGAGGAGAGGGTAGGAGGAGAGGAGGAGGAGGAGAGGGGAGGAGGAGGAGCAGACGACGAGGGACGAGGGAGGGACGAGGAGGAGGAGGAGCAGGGGGGGGGGAGGAAGGGGGGAGAGAGGAGGAGGGGGGAGGGGAGGAGGAGGAGGAGGGAGGGGAGGAGGGAGGAGGAGGAGAGGAGGAGGAGGAGGAGGGGGAGGGGGAGGAGGAGAAGGAGGAGGAGGAGGAGGAGGAGAAGGAGAAGGAGGAGGAGGAGGAGGAGCAAGCCACTGGGGCTCAGGCCATTTTGGCGGAGCACAGGGCTCAGGCGCCGCGCCCCCCTCACGACATTTCCTCGTGAAAGCTCCCGCGGCCAGGCGCGCGGCTGAGCATCAGAGGGCGCGCGCGACCCACGGCGCGCTCGGGACGCCGCAGGGGCTCCCCCGAGCCAGCCTGGCACAAGAGGCAACGGGCGCAGCGAGGGCGAGCTCGCCTTCTCCTCAGCGTGTTCCAGGCCAAGCGCCTCCTCGAGTCGCATCACAGCACGATGGGGGGAGGCACTTGGACATGCAAGCAGTGCGAGACAAGGAATCCTAACTCTCAGTGGACATGCTCTTGTGGCAACGTGTGAGCTCCTCGCCCCGATCCCACCAGACGTTCGGCCAGCAGAAAGAGGGACCAGAAGAAGTCCGCCAGCATTAGGGAGCTGATCGCGCAGATTCCAGTTGCAGCACCTGGTGAGGCGATCGCCAACATCACGGTGTGGGAGCCGCCGCCGCCCGAGGCGGACGAGCTGAAAATATACAAGTCAAAGGCCCAGTCGAAGCTCCAGAAGTTCGCCAATCTCCTCGTCGCGGTCCGCGACGCAGGGAAGGAGGATCCCGCCCTGGAGTTCGACATCGGAGTGCTCAGATACATGACGAGCGCCTGCAAGGGCTCAGAGAAGCAGTTGCATGAGTTGAAGGCCCAGCTCATCAGCGCCAAGGAAAGGCTCGGCAAGATCCGAGCTAAGGTCGAGGAGCTGTTAGACGAGGAGGCGACGCTCTGCCTGATGGTGCAGAAGCTTCAGAACTCCATCCAGCAGCTCCGAGAAGCGGAGGATGCACCAGATCATGATGAGGACTGGTTGATGGCCCCGCCAGGAGGAAGCGAACATGGTCTCAGGGCAGCCAGCAGTGCCCAGAGGCCATGGGTGCAAGCGGCGGCTGAGAGGGCGGCAGCACAGGCAGAGGCAAAGGCTCAGTCAGCCAAGGCCGCGGCGGAGGCGATAGCCAGCAGAGTGCCGCCGCCGCCGCCACCAACGCCCAACCAGCCCCTGGCGCAGATGCATGCATACCAGCCACCCCAGAAGGCGGCCCCAAGGGCAGCTTCAGGGGCGGCGCGCAGCCAGCCAGCCACAGCAGCAATGGCGCCGACGGCTACAGAGCCCGCTAGCCCGCGCACCGCCTGGCACAGAGGCCCGCGGACTGAGGGGCAAGATGGCCCAACGGCAGCGGCCATCACTGCGATGACGGAGCAGATGAAAGCCGTACAGGCCCAGCAGCAGGCCATCCAGGAGCACCTCTCGAGGATGCAGACGGGCCAGAACTTCCACACCTTCGCCCTGGCCAGGGTACTGGGAGTTGGCATCGGTGCAACGGCAGGTGATGTGCTCATGGACGCGCAGACGATTCAGAAGGCACAGCGGGCGGTGATCTCGGGACTTTCGATCCCCAGCGCGAGCCCCCCTGACCGTCAGGGGTTGGCGCCAGAGCGCACACCGAGGGACGCCGCCCCGACAGCGCCAGATTTTGGCGCAGCCCCCCCTGGTGCAGCGCCAGCCACGGGGCCGAGGGCGCCTACACAGCGCAGTGCGAACTTGCCAGAGGCCCCCGTGGCAAAGACACCGCCACCGAAGAGACAGTCGGCATCGCCGACGCCAGCCAGGGCCCCCAGCATTGGCGTCTCATCCGAGGCAAGGACCCAGGCCGAGGAGAAGGCAGTCCCAGACACACCGAGGGCAAAAGGCGTGTCCAGGGTGACAGCAGAGCTGCAGAGGAGCGAGCCCAAGGAGGAGGTCATGCCGATCGATCCAGAGCAACTGATTGCGACGCAGCCAATGGTGATGGAGGAAATGACCCCAGGGCCAGTGCACCTCTTGCAGCACATCCAGGGGGCCTCCATCGACTTGACCAGTCAGACGCAGCGCTCCCCCACACCACCGCCGGCGCAGAGGTCGCCTGGATCGCCAGTGGACCCTCCGCAGCCAGCGCCCGCGGCGCTGTTCCCTCCTGCATGGGCAGCAGCAGCATCGTCAGCCGCAGCATCTTCAACGGCAGCATCGTCGGCATCTCATACGCAGGCAGCGGCCTCGTCGGGGCCGACGGCAGCGCCAGCGGCAGCAGCAGCGGATACACCTCCTGCGGCTTCGAGGACCCGACCGCTAGAGGAGGAAGACAAAGAGAAGGACATGGGGGACTCGCCCAACAGGTCCCCCCCAAGAAGATGCAGTGCTAGGGTTACGAGCTGGGAGACGGGCCCAACTTGCAAGGCCTAGCAGGGTCTCGTGGGGCCCAGTCGAAGTGAGGCGCTTTGAGGCGCATGCACCGATAATTGTCCGACAAGCCAGGGACACGCTTTCTCGGACCTGTTTCACTAGGCCGATTCTTAGGTCGGCCCCTGTCTCGGATATCTCGTCCAAGGGTTGTGGTCTTGGGACTTCGCAGACAGGCAATGCCACCTCCTCGGCCGCCACTTCAGGTGATGCCACTGAGGACTCATCGTCATCTTCCACTCGGTCCAACGGCCGAACGAGGCATCGCTTGCGGGGCAAGACCTCGAAGGAACATCTTTTCCTGCCTCGTACTCGCGAATTACAGCATGCTGTGCATGAGGAGCGAGGACACGAGGCCAATCGAACGTCTATTACAGTTGCGGTTGTGCCCGACCCCCCCCCCCCCCACCACCACCCCACCGCCGTCGCACCCCGCCCCATCCAGGGAGCAGCTCGACGCAGTTGCAGGGGGGAGTGTGCCGGCCTTGAGGGAGGATGGTGGGTATATTACTTCCCTGCACCTGTTCCCTTTACTTTTCCAGAATCCTGAGAGCAATGGCAGTGGGCACTGTGGTTTTCAGGAGGCGGACAGGATATATCAGGTCTGACTCCAGAACATCAATTGGTTTGAGCTTTGCAATGACGATTTTGGAGACATCCCCTTACATCACACTGCCAAGTTTGCTCTGGATATCTCTGCGCGCGGGGCACATAGAGCACGGTCAGTACATATCTATGTCGACGCCTCGCACAGAAAGACGCTCAGGGACTCAGCCTGGGCCTTCGCTGCTGTCGCGATCTCGCCTGATGACGCGGTGAGCTTCCTCGGGTGGCAAAAAATGAGCGCATGGGAATCCACAGAAATGCAGTTCGAAAGGGACGATATCACTAGCACGACTATCGAGCTCATGGGGACATTATGGAGTTCACTCTGGATCTTGGGCTTCTTTGGGCCGAACACGGTGCACTCCCCCCCAGCTCTGGTCATTTTTTGCGATAACCAGTCGGCTGTCAACATATCCTTGGGTTTGGAGGTCCCGTCGGAGAACCTGCACCTGGCCTGGCTTACATACCATGTATATCAGTGTGCGCGCAGGAGGCACGGCACTTTGCTTTTGCATGTATGCGGTCACTCTGGGCATCCATGGAATGAGTTGGCAGACAGTTTAGCACGGTCGGACCGAGCGGTTGGGCGCTCGCCCCCGCCGGCCTTGCGCGAGGCCCTCAGGTACACGAATGACTTTGAGTGGTGGTGGCTTAAGGAGGCACCTGTGGCCACAAGAGAAGCTTATCCAATAGGCCCTGACAACGCCTTTCGGTATCCTGGGCGCCCTCAAGTGTCGGTGGAGACGCTATGGGATACTGTTGGATCCCAACCCTCGCAGAAGTTGGCCCCCAAGTCCTGTCAGTTCAGCATCAGCTTGAGGCTTGCCACCTTCAACGTAAAGACAGGGGCGCGGAGGCCACGTCGGCAAGACGCACCAAAACGTCGGGCGAGGTTCTCTTGCTCAGGAACAATGCCACATCGTCGGGGTGCAGGAGGCGCGAAATCCGTCGGGGGAAAGGTGTTCTGCTGGTTACTTTGTGCTTTCTTCGGGATCTGACGGTGGCAAGAACTTGGGCGTGGAACTCTGGGTCTCCTTGCACCTACCCTACGGGCGGCGAGGGGGCGAAGATCTGTACTTTGAACAGAAACGTTTTAGGCCGCTGTACGCTACCCAGAGGCACCTGGTGGTTGGCTGTTGTGCCCCACTCTTTTGGAAGGTCATCCTGGTTGCCCATGCGTTGCACAACGGAGACGAATATACCTCGCAGCAGAGGAAACAGTGGTGGCGGGACCTCATAGGGATCTGCCGCAAATGGAAAGTCCAGCTGGCTTTCCTGGACGCGAATGCCAGGCTCGGCAGCATCGTGTCTGACGCAGTGGGAGGTGAAGGATTCAGGCAGGACGAGGACGAATCGGGCGGACTGTTCCACGACATGCTCTTGGAGACGGGTTTGGCCGCCGCCAACACGCTAGTCCCC